GGGAGGTTGAGGCAGGAGAATTGCTTCAGCTAAGAAGTTTGAGGTTGCAGCAAGCTATAATGACGCCACTGCACTCCAGGGAGGACAACAGGGCAAGGCTCTGCATAAAAAAAGTAAAAAATTTAAAACAAAAAAGACCTAATATATGAACAGTCAGATTTATCCCCAAAACAATGCATTAGTTTACCAAAACATGTTTTACCTTTCAAAGGACCTCTATATAGCATGTGTCCTCAGCACATTTTAAAGGACTCTTTTGATTAAAACTCCACTGAACTTTTCTTTTTCAGAATCTCATCTGCTTAAGCAGCAGTCCCCAACCTTTTTGGCACCAGGAAGACAATATTTGGGGGAGGGGGGGATGGGGGAGCAGTGAAGATGCCAGCAATGGGGAACAGCTGTAAATACAGCTCCCATACTGGGCCAGGCCCTGGGGTTGGGGACCACACAGGACCAAATAACTCCTCTTTCTTAATTTCACAGGGGCAGACAGACACTAAGGTTTAGTCATGTGACCTGCTCAGGATCCTGGGTAGTGGCAGTCCTGTCTACTAACTCCTATACCAGTGCTCTTGCTCAAGTCCATCATTCCTGCTATCCCCACTTTAAACAATTATTCTCATGGAGTTCTTTTCCATTTAGACCTCACATTAAACAGAAAATGTTAAATTGTTAAACTGAGCCCTATAAGACACAACCCATGAAATCCAGAGAAAGAGGCACTTTGGACAGCTGCTTTATAACACTGATGTCCTCACCCAAGTCCATCATGCAGTTAAACGGGAGAGAAGAACGTGCCCTCCAGGCTGGAGCTGGCTACCTTCTCCTTCCAGCTCTCTCAGTGGATGTTCAACTTCACTAGCTACCTCACTTAACTATGTGTTGGCTTTTTGACCTTCAGTAAAACAGCAACAAAAAAAATATACACTTCCTTCTCAATGAAAGTTGAGTACAATAAGACAACATAATCATTCATGTTTTTCATGAGTGAAGCATAAATTACACATGTGGCTCTATAATTATAAAGACTCTTCCAGGATCATCCTTCTTTGGAGTTCAAATTTTTCTTTGCATTGGAAGAGGACAGTTTAAGAGATTAACTGATTTGCCTGAAATCACAGAGTTTGACCTGTGTCTCATCCACTGTGAATCCTTGTGCAGTCTTCTTGGTACCACAAGCTGCTATTCCTAATCATTAGAGATACAGAGAAAAGAAAAGGCTTAACTATTAGTCTAGTAGGCCAGGGTTTCTCAACATCAGCACTACTGACATTTTGAACAGAAAAATTCTTTGTTGTAGGGCGGAGGGCTATCCTGTGCATTGTAGGATATTTAGCTTTGTAGGATGCTTCCTTGAGTTCCACTCACTAGACACCAGTAGCATCCCCATCCCACTCCCAGTTGTGACAACCAAAGATATCTCCAGACATTGCCAAATATCCCCTAGGGAGCAAAAGTGCAAATGCCCCTGATTGACAATCACTGTGCTATACATATAGTATACAAATATCTGGAAACAATCACCTAAAAGGAAAACTATAGACTGAAAAGAGAAGATAAAGAAAAGGTATAATTCTCTTTACAGATCTAAAAAGTCTTCATATAGGAGCAGGAACAGATTTGGGATACCAGGGAGAGAAACCATAGCCAGTGGGTATCAGCTACATAATAATAAAACCAGTATTTATTCTATGTGCCAGGCACTCTTCAGTACACTCGAAGTATATTTCCATTTAGTCCTTATAATAACCCAATGAGGTCAGTAGAACTGGCCTCACTTTACTGATGGAAAAAAACCTGAAGCTCAGAAATATTAAAATATTTACCTAAGGTCCAAGAGCAAAAGTCAGAACCAGGACTCAAACCAAAGTCTAACACTGAATCCAACCTCTTAATGACCAAGCTACTATAACCATGACAAATTATGGATATTACCTCAATAAATTTAGGAACTGTTTCTTTCACCAGCAATGATTCTGGCAGCTCTCATCTCCTTCTATCTGTCCAGATCAGAAGTATTATACATCCAGAAAGCCTTCCCTCATCATTTCCAGGGAAGTCTCTACTCTGAATTCCACTGGGCCCCTGTACAACACCCAACTCTTCCTACTTCAAGTTAGACATCCTCTTCCTACTTAGATGGCAAGCTCCTTGAAGGAAGGGGCAGCCAGCTTCTCACATTTATACTCCCCCCTTCAAGCCTTATACATACTGACGCTCAATAAACTTGTGAATGATTTTATTGGATATGTTGAGTTTTTTCCAACTCTCAGAACCTGAGTTAGGAAGGGGCAGATGACTAATGGCAGAGGGACAGATGACTAATAGCCCAGCCCATCGGCTATTCCTCAATCAAGCTACCAAGGACTCCCTTGACAATGACCACAAATCATGTATCAGAGGCTACATTTATGTATCTATGTGTGTATATACACATATATGTGTAGGTATGCATATATACATATATGTTTATCTCAGTTCCCTCTATAAGAAATTCAGCAAACATCTACAAAATTTCTGGAGGCTCTGAGGCCAACATACGGAGGTCTAAATTAGGGGTCTCATTTTTCCCCTGGTATATGAATGAGGTAAGGCAAATAATGCTCCACAGTAATGCTCCTCATAAACTACTAGCACATCTGTCAACCAGTACTACCTCTCCCACATAGCAGGGTCTGGCACCCTTTCAGGAAAATGCCAAGCGGCCAAGGCCCTGTTCTTGGAAGAAATGGGAGTGCATATGTGTGTGGCACTGAAGAGATGCTCACAGAAAGTTACGGATGAGAGGAGGAGAAACATCCTTTGGGACGTTATTAGATTAGAGGCCATCTATCAATAGACAAACTCTGAATTGCATTTTATCGGTACTGTATTTCTTTTAGAAAGCCCAGGTCTCCAGGCTCTGTTTCCATTCCTCTTTAAAAAAAAAAAAAAAGGCAGGTGGAGTCGGATAACCAGACTTAGAATGATGAGTCAAATAATAAGGGCCATGCTTTAAGGAAAGCCTGAAAAGCCCATTTTGTTTCTGTAGGTATTAATAAGTGGCAGCCTTAATTTGTGGCATCAATTTAGGTCACACAGAGGTTTCTCCCCTTATTTTCATGTCTCTTGGTATGTGATGTTGCCAGAGAGCTGGATTCTGCACAACGTTTTATTTCAGTTCTTTGTTATCCTAAGATACAGACTCTTTACTTCACTATTTAAAACAGACATTTTAAACATCATCAACTCTCCTTGATAAAGCTGCCATTTACATTAAGATTTTGACTTCCTAGCTCTAGTAATTCCATTCCAGGCTATCTGTGACCCTAGCATATAGTAGGCAATCAGCAAATGTTGGCTTAATGAATAAGTGAGTGGATGAGAGGTAGATTGAGATTCACAGAGATTTCAAAGGAAATAATACACAATGCATGTTAATTAATGAGGGGAAAAATTGAAAAGTGAATCTTCTAAGTATTTTTGGTAAATGATATTTAGGAATCAAGCATTTTCTTTCATAAAGAAAAAGAATATATTTATTTTCAGGGCAAATGGCTTTATTGGTGGCTAGCTGCATTAGTTAAAATTGCATGTATAATAAATCTACAAAAAAAAAACAAACATGCCCAGTGTTCACAGTAAGTAGAAGTCCATCTTCTTACCATATGCAACTAGTTCTCTGTGCTAACCTGGGTGTGAAGTGGAGAGCTGGCTGAGAAAGCCACAAAGTACAGCAATCAAGCAATCACTTAGCCCAAGGGCCAGACTCAAAATAAAGGGAACAGAAGTAGAGAAGAGCCCCAGTATAAACCGTTTAGTGGTATCTCCTTAATTCCTCAGTGTTTTTGAGCAGCAGACAGAGGACAGGTACCATGAATGCAAGTTTTACCTACTGTCAATAGGTTTCTCACCACTGTACATGGGATCCTCTGGTTCTTTCCTTCCTAACCTTCTATGTCCATCAATGACATGGCATCTCTGCCCCTTATGTGCAACCAATCACCACTCAAGAGAGGCAGAAATCTAAAAGATGATAAAATGGACTGGCTCTAATACAGGAGCCAGTGCAAAATTAAACACATCAACATGACCCAGGAAGCTTCCAAGACCAACCACAAACCCTCTCCTTCGATCTACAGACAGGTTTTTCCTTTTTTTAACCGATTCTCCCAATTTGGGATAGCCAGACAGAAGCTTTTAAAGAAGACAGAAGCTTTTAAATACACATGTCTTATTCCATGGGGGGCAGTTGAAAACCGGCGCCATTTAATACGATGTAGGTTTAAATGGGGCCTATTTTTAACCCATCTACCTTTCTAGGGCAAAAAGTGAGCTTGGAATCCTGTAGCTTAGCGCTTGTCACCAACCCTTTTCTAAAGTCAAGGCAATTAGGCCCATGACTGTTAAAAATCTATCCCAAAGCTCCTGTCCTGTGCACATCAATCACAGTCACTGCTGAAAACAAACACAGGATTTTTTTAAATTCTTTATCCACACCCAAGGAGAAGTGTGATGTGAGGGCAGCCGAGAAATCATGGCGACAGGAACAGCCGGTGTCCAACGGGGGCAGCTGCTCCTGAGACAGCTTTGGGACAGAGCAGGGAACCAACCAGTGGTATTTTTCTCTCCAAATGTCTCTCCGTCAGCTCATGCACCACATGTTGGTCCCAGAAACTGGTTTTCTCCTTTGAGAGACTTATGGCGAGAGCCAGAGGGACTCAAGGGAAGCGAGGGGGGGGGGGGATGCCAGGGATTTGTTGCAACACAGAAAACTAGAAAACGTGTAGCTGTTTACTACAAACGCCCCGGAGACGCCGAGCGCAGCGCGCAGCTGAGCGCTCCCTCCCGCCCGACCCCGCCTCCCCACACCGCCCGGGCGCGTTCGGATGTAGGGGCGACGCGCCAGCCGCCCTCCCCGACGCGCTCGCGGGACCCCGAGGCCCCCAGCGCGCCGGCCACCGGGGCATCAGCTCCGTGTCCCCGAGGCCCCCGCGCCCACACTGCGCAGCCCAAGTTACCTCGGAGGCCCGGGTTGTCGTCCCTGGACCGAATCTTTCGGATTTTGACGGGGCGCCCGCTCAGCGTGGACAGGACCAGACGCTGGCGCAAGAAGTTGCAGCCCGCGTAGCTGAGGCAGTGCTCCTGGGTCGCCATGTGCGCGCCCTCTGCAGAGGCGCGGGCGGTCCCGGAGCTGCGACTTCAGACGGGCGCGGAGCGCGCAACCCAAGCGGCGGGGGATACGACGGTGGCGGCGGCCCTGGCTGCCTCCCGCAGCCCCGCAGCCCCCGGCGCGTCCACGTGGTTTGGAACAGGAAGACGGAGAGACTAGACACCGGGTCAGAGGGGAGCGAGGAGGAGCCAGCGGCCGCCTCCCCGCCTCCCCTGCCAGGCTGGGGGCGGCCTCTGCACCGGGCCACGCGGCTATTGGCCAGCGCGGGATCAGGGTGGTGCCCGCGCCACGCCGCCATTGGCCTGCGCTGGAGATGGGCGGTGCACAATATGCGCTACCATTGGCCCGTAGTGAAGCGGGGCGGTGCCCGGGCCCCGGCAACAGCGCGCGGCTGGAGGGAACGCGGGAGGGCTCGGGGTAACCTGGAGTCGCCATCCCCGGCAGTCTGCTAGAGGTCTCTCCCCGCGTGCGGGCAAGGGGACACGGCGCACTGGGGTTGGGTGCCGACTACGTGCCGGGTGCTTAGCATCACTATTTACGGCGACCGAAGGGATGAGGGAGGCATCATCTCCTCCGCCTTTTGCTTAATAGAGGCGAGACTGAGCTGGCGCGCTTACCCTGTTGCAGGCGCGGTGCTGAGCGCTGCGGGCGCGGCTGCTCGCTCCCCGCTGTAACTCCGCAAAGTAAAGCCATCCCGTCTTACTCGTGGGGACAGGCTCGAGGAATAGTGGAAAGCTGACCCTGGCAGCCTGTCCTGGGACACGAGTCTTCTGCTTATTTTGTTATAAGACATTTCGCTTTGCCCTTTTCTCGTTGGTCCCTTCGTTTATATTCGCTGCACTTCGTTCCAAGTCAGCTACCCTGCCTGCTTCAATTCAAGGTGGATAGTAGTAATAATTTCTCTCTCTCTCTCTCTCTCTCTCTCTCACACACACACACACACACACACACACACTGCTTTTTCCCCTCTTTCCCGTCCTCCAATCCTGCACACCAAAATCTTCTACATACTGGGTTATTTCACTCCTTTACTCAAAAACCTTCAAACATGCGCAGTTAACTATCAAACGACCACAAACTTGGGAGTTCAGTATCGCAATAATGTGGGTCTGCAGCCATTCTTGGGCAAAGTCACCAGATTATGAGTTCCAAAACACAAGAGGGGTGAGTGTCAGAAGGGGGTAGCAGCTCGAGTAAGACTAAAAATTGTAATGAGCCTTATGCTGATTACAGTCAGTTATGAGGGACCACTAGAGAGGTCTGAACTCTCGTCCTGTGACAGGCTGGTAGAGATGTAGGTAGAACGTGACAGAATGAGCCGTGAAGTCTATTGAGGGAGGTGGGTAGTCCATTTATATTTATGCCATTTCTTGAGATTGCCTTTTAGGGGACTGACAGTGGTCATGCCGGGTGTGTTAAAAATCTCTAGGACCCCTGAGGATCTTCCCTCCAGAATGATGTTCTGAGGGATGCCAAAACAAGAGGAGGAGCTGTCACACTAGGAATAGGTTTTTATATATCATCTCATGTAATTACCCCACAATCTTAAGAAAATAACTATTATCCTCTGCAGCAGACCCTACCAGTGCCCTGTTCACATCATCCTTTCATCTGTTACTATTTTCAGTGAAAACCTGCTTAATTCTCTTCCATCAGCACCTATATCTCTTTGCCTAAAGGTATTTCCCACCCACACAGAACTCAGCATGCCAATAGCACTGGGGAATTAATGCGTCCTCCCACCCCCAGAGTCTTCAACAAATGACTGACTGAAGTTGATATATAAATAACCCAGCTCCCTTAACCTTTTGGGGTGAGACAGCTTTGAGATGTCCACTCTACAGTGTTTCCCCAGGATGCCCCAGCAGCTTTATGCTCCAGTTGCCCACAGTGATAACTTGCTTGATTAAATGTCTTTTAGCGCCTTCTTTCCCTTTCCTGTATCACTTCCCAACTCCCTTCTGATATGTCCTGGGATTAACTCCCAAATAAACTACTTACACTCAGATTCTTGCCTTAGAAACTTCTGAGCAACCCAAAAATAAATGCTGACTTTTAAAATTTGAGAACTGAGGTTCAGAAAAAATAAATTACCTGCTTGTGCACACTCTCTTCTTTCCTAACTCTAACCCTAACCCTTCTCTTCCTCCTTCTCCTCCTCCTCTTCCTCCTCCTCTTTCTTCTTCCTCTTTTCTCTCTCTCTCTCTTTCTCTCCTTATTGAAGGTTCTCTCTGGCATGGTAGCTTCATGATAGCTAGATTCCATATATATGTTTGGAGCTATAATCCTTCAATTAGAAGTCTAGCTACCATGAAGCTGCCATGCCAGACAGAGCAAGCACACAGAGCAAGCTAGCTGTTCCAGCTGACAGCTAGCATCAACTGCCAGACAAGATCAAGCCTTCAGATGATTCCAGTCCCCAGCCAGCCTCTGACCATTCTTTGGAGTCACCCTGGCTGATGCCATGTGGAACACAGATGAGCCATCCCCACTGAGCTCTGTCCAAATTTCATAGCCCTAAACTAAATAAATGATTGTTACTTTTTAAGATGTGGGTTTGGAGGTGGTTAATTACACAGTAACAAATAACTGAAATAGACTTACTGTATGTATCTTGTATTGTTTCAATTTATATAAAATAGAACTACATACTGCTTAATTCCCTTGCCTGCATAGTTCTGGGTTAGCAAATCACAAGAAACATCTTGCATAAGATTATCAAAGGCCTGCTGAGAGACTGTATAAGAGTCTATGCAAGGAATTTATTAATACATACACACTATCTCTAGTTTGGTCCTTGCACCAACCAGCTCAAAAGTTGGATTGTAAGTAAATAAGGGGTTAGGAAACAAATCTTTCTACTTTTGTTTGTATTTGAAATTGTTCATTACAATTTTTAAAATCTGATCATAGAATCTTCTTTTACACTAAATTATAAATAACATATGCTTGCTTTGTAATCACTTCCACAAATACTTCTATGTTAATAAAGCCACAGGGCATTGGATCTAGGGACTGGAGTCTAAATGAATTCTCCGCAGTCCACAGAGAAAGTTGCCCAAGACTACACTTCCACCCACCCTGCTATCTCATCATCTCCTTTGTTCAAGCCATCATAGATCCAAGGGCTTTTTTCTACCACAGCCTGGAACTAATGTTTACAGTGCTCTGGTTTTAGGATGAATTTCTGTGTTTAGTGCTCCTCCTCTGTGTCTCCACAATAAATATTCACACCTATATTTTCCACATTATACCCTTTTATAATCTGTTTGTAGGGCAGCCTCTCTAATAACACTTTGTGATCTGATGAGGGCAGGGACCATACTATGGTGTATCATTTAGAGCAGAAATAGTATCTTATTATATTCCCAGTGCTTAGCACCTATTAGGAGTTCAATAAAGGTATGACTAGAATTAATTACTTAATCAATTAATTGAAAGACACATGGCTAGGCTAAATCAGTGTTATATTAAGCTTAGCCTAAAGCTGCCTTCTTACATATCTTAAGTTTGACCTAAAGGTTTCTCCATACATAGTGAACTATAACCCAACTGAATATGTAAACAGACTGTAACCTGCTCTTGTAATGAGCAGCCAAGTGTCAGCCACTTACAGAAGCCATACCTCAATCACTCACAGGTGGTCAAACTGCTCAAAGGGTGTTCAAATAAGGCAAATGCCAAGCTGTTACCAATCTGGCTCTTTCTGTACCTCACTTCTGTTTTCTGTACATCATTTTCCTTTTTCTGTCCTTAAATCCTCTCTGACCCATGTGGCAGCTTCAGAGTCTCTCTGAAGCTATTCTGGTTCAAGGGGCTGCCCAATGCACAAAGTGTTCTTTGCTCAATTAAACTCTGTTAAATTTAATGTGTCTAAAATGTTTCCTTTAACATTAGTGAACTCAAAAATGTCTAAATCATTGGTCAAACTTTAGCATGCATTAAAATTGCCTAGAGTGCTAGTTAAAACTCATATTGCTGGGCCTCATACTCAGAGTTTCCTCAGTATGTCTGGGGTAGAAAATTTACATTTCTAACAACTTCCCAGGAGATGTTGATGCTTCTGATCTAAGGACCATACACTGTGAGAAACTTCAAAAAAAATTAAAGAAACGAAAAATGTACTCTGGAAGGCCAAGGCGGGAGGATTGCTCGAGGTAAGGAGTTCAAGAATAGCCTGAACAAGAGTAAGACCCTGTCTCTATAAAAAATGGAAAAAACAGCCAGACATGGTGCCATGCACCTGTAATCCCCGTTACACTCAGGGCTGAGGCAGGAGGATTACTTAAGCCCAGGAGTCTGAGGTTAAAAAAAAGAAGAAGAAGAAAAAAGAATGAGAAAGGAAGAAATAGACAGAAAGAATATTTGAAGAAATAGTGGGCCAAAACTTCCCAAATTTGATTAACTACATGAATCTACACATCTAAGAAGTTCAACAAATTCCAAATAGATTAAACTCAAAGAAATTCACACCAAGACACAACATAAAACTGTTGAGAGACAGAGTCTTGAAAGCAGCAAGAGAGAAGCCTCTCACTGTGCATGATGGATCTTCAATAAGATTAATAGCAGATTTCTCATTAGGAAATGTGGAGGCCAAAAAGAAGTGGGAAGACATTTTCACAGTGCTATTAAAAAAAGACTATCACCCAAGAATTCTCTATCCAACAAAACTATCCTTCAAAAATGAAGGAAAAGGCCGGGCGCAGTGGCTCATGCCTATAATCCTAGCACTCTGGGAGGCTGAGGCGGGCGGATTGCTCAAGGTCAGGAGTTCGAAACCAGCCTGAGCAACAGTGAGACCCCGTCTCTACTATAAAACAGAAATAAATTAATTGGCCAAATAATATATATAGAAAAAATTAGCCGGGCATGGTGGCACATGCCTGTAGTCCCAGCTACTCGGGAGGCTGAGGCCGAAGGATCGCTTGAGCCTAGGAGTTTGAGGTTGCTGTGAGCTAGGCTGACGCCATGGCACTCTCAAAAAAAAAAAAAAAAAAAAAAAATGAAGGAAAGACTGAGTGCAGCAACTCACACTTGTAATCCCAGCACATTGGGAGACAAAAGCAGGAGGATCCTTTGAGGCCAAGAATTCCAGGCTACACTGAGCTAAAATTATGCCACTGCACTCCAGCCTGAATGACAGAGTAAGACCCTGTCTCTAAAACAAACAAACAAAAACAATGA